CAAAATAACTGTCAATCTCCCTCAGTCTGGGGCTCCATGCAAGATCTCACCTCGTGGCGTTTCAATGATCATGAGAACGGTGAGGAATCAGCCCAGAACTTCACGGGAGGATCTTGTTAATGATCTCAAGGCAGCTGGGACCATAGTCACCAAGAAAACAATTGGTAACACACTACGTCATGAAGGACTGAAATCCTGCAGAGCCCGCAAGGTCCCCCTGCTCAAAAAAGCACATACAGGCCCGTCTGAAGTTTGCCAATGAACATCTGAATGATTCAGAGGAGAACTGGGTGAAAGTGTTGTGGTCAGATGAGACCAAAATCGAGCTCTTTGGCATCAACTCAACTCGCCGTGCTTGGGGGAGGAGGATTGCTGCCTATGACCCCAAGAACACCATCCTCACCTCCAAATATGGAGGTGGAAACATTATGCTTTGGGTGTGTTTTTCTGCTAAGGGGACAGGACAACTGCACTGCATCAAAGGAACGATGGATGGGGCCATGTACTGTCAGGGCCAGGGCATTGAAGCCAGCCAGGGCATTGGAAATGGGTCATGAATGGGTCTTCCAGCATGGCAATGACCCAAAACACACGGCCAAGGCAACAAAGGAGTGGCTCAAGAAGAAGCACATTAAGGTGCTGGAGTGGCCTAGCCAGTCTCCAGACCTTAATCCCATAGAAAATCTGTGGAGGGAGCTGAAGGTTCGAGTTGCCAAACGTCAGCCTCGAAACCTTAATGACTTGGAGATGATCTGCAAAGAGGAGTATGACAAAATCCCTCCTGAGATGTGTGCAAACCTGGTGGCCAACTACAAGAAACCTCTGACCTCTGTGATTGCCAACAAGGGTTTTGCCACCAAGTACTGATCATGTTTTGCGAAGTGGTCAAATATTTATTTTACTCATTAATATGCAAAACAATTTATAACTTTTTTGAAATGCAGTTTTCTAGATTTTTTTTGTTATTATTCTGTCTCTCACTGTTCAAATAAACCTACCACTAAAATTATAGACTGATAATTTCTTTGTCAGTGGGCAAACGTGCAAAATCTGCAGGGGATCAAATCATTTTTTTTTCCTATGTAGGAAGAAATGCAGGACAAATGAGTAATAGTACAGAAACACTTCAGCTACTATTAACTACTCTGGAAACAAGAATAACTAATCATTAAGTAATAACGAATTTAGGCTTTAGACTGAGTTGATTTCTTATTAGATAATCAATAATTACTGATGTAGATTAAACTCATTCAGAACTAATTCATAACTATGACAAATTATAAAGAATTACCAGTTAATTACTAACCACATTATTAACATGTGTGAGACACAAGCAATTTTCTATTTTACTGTGAACATGGTCATAAATAAAATATATAAATACATAAAATAAAAGTGACAGTAATAAAATAACATTTTTGAAACAAAAGTGACAATAATGACATTGTATGATTTGAGAAAACTGGATTTGGATTAAATAAAAACATATGCAATTAATTGGTAATCATCTATCATAGCCTAGTGAATAAGAAGTAACAAACAATACATTTAAAGGCAGACATGGTTACAGAGGTTAATAAGGGCACAGAAATGCAAATGTACCTTTAGAGGGCACCCTATGCAAACCTACTTCTATTTGTCTTCCTCAAAAGTCTCCAAGCTATTCATCTCCACACAAAACTTGTTTTGCTTGCTCTTTTCATAACAGGACAATGGATATTGTGTCTAAACTGGGTTTTGTCTTCATGTTTGCTTTCACAGAATGTAAGAAGGACTCTTGAAAACCTGTTGATGATCAGACTTATTCATGTGCACTGTTGTAAATGTTAATGTTGAACTGTTTGTTTTTCTTAGGGAGCGTGATGGATTGTAGCGTGGTAGAAGACTAGTTAGGTACGCAGGAGCTAACCCATAGTACTATATACTACTCTCAGTCTGTTCAGGGACGCTTCACCATCTCCAGAGACAACAGCAAGAAACAGATGTATCTGCAGATGAATAATATGAAGAATGAAGACACTGCTGTATATTATTGTGCAAGAGAGACACAGAGATGAATGCAGCTACAGCACTGCACAAAATAAGCTATTTGTATGTGCATGTATTTACCAAAATACAACCCACTGAAGCTCTACAACTTCACAAATTCAATTTTATCTCACAGATCACAAATAACTTCTTACATATTATTACATAATTACATATTATTGTAATTGACTATCGATAAACCAATAAAAGACACATTTATACCCATTTATGACCAAATACCCTCTTTATAGGGAGTATTGTAAATGTAAAAAAAAAAAAAAAAAAAAAAAAAACA